TATTATTATTCTTCCGTTATACTCGTATGCAAGCAGTGCTTATTACGAGTCCTTGTGTAATGTTAAATACAAGCAAGAGTTGGTTATACAGGAGGAATGCTTAGTGTTGAATGACGCTAAGAATATAACAGGAACATAGGAAAATTAATGAAAGACAGGATTTTGGTACTCGCGATACAGGTTTCCAGCCCAGAAACAATAAGCTAAATCAGGTAGTAGGTCCGCCCGAAGGTACCTACTTGGCAGGTTCACATCCCTTTATTTTAGGAGCTGAGAAATTGGCTCCGGATGTAATGTTGTCCCCTTGTGGGTTTCAAACCCACGCGCTTTGAGTCCCCACGCCAAGGCGCTACCTGGTGGCCGCATTACCCATTCGGCCACCGGGGCTCAGAGTGAGCAGAGTGAGCAGAGTGGATATAAATATGAATTAAAAAAAAAAAAAAAAAAAAAAAAAAAAAAAAAAAGGTTTCAAGATTGCAGAATATATAGAGCAGAGAGCAGAAAATATGATGTCAAAACTGAATAAAATTCAAATATTGATTCAAATACAAATATCAATGAAATAAATTGAATTGCTTATATTAATTTCAGTAATTATATGATAACTAGGCAGTATTTATAAGAAAGAAAATGGTTGAATATATGATGAGAAACAGTGCTGATATACATCAAATCAGTGATCTGATTTTCATAATTGAAATAATAGAAGATTATTGTTAATGTAATCATTAGAATGTTTGATATGATATATCACTTTTCACATACCCTCTTTAGAAGAATAACATCAGTAATGAAGCTGAAAATATTATCAGAATAAAAAATGATATAGAAAATATGATGATTAATAAAATGAAAAAGAAACAAATAAAAAAGATATATGAGAATGTTGAATTCCTTCTGTTCAAACTTATTGAATTTTTATATTTTATTTTATTATTTTACTAACAAAATCAATGTTGTAGACGTCCATTCCATCAAGACATCGCTGGATTGTATCCATTCTCGCAACCAATTGCCGTAGCTATCAACATGGTGTAATTTGATTGTGATAAAAGAATCTTCCTTAGTAAAGATGTCAACTGTTTGTCAATTATCATATTGAATTGAAATCTTGTGCTTTAAATTGAATCTCAGATGATTAAAGAATCATTTTTATCAAATTAACTTTTTATCTATGTGTGATATAATTAATAGTTCAGCTTCAGTGATGGAAGTTGTTATTATTCTCTGTTTCTTTAACTTTCAATCAATAAATTTTTCAAAAAGTTTGAAAATGTAACCTTCTGTTGATTTTCTATCTAAATTATCCGCGAAGAAGGCATCACTAGCTGCTTCAACCCACATACATTGATAAGCTATCATTATCAAATACACTATATTTAATCACTAGATTATTCAAATCTCACAGATAGGCAATAACATGATCAATCTTTGCAAAATGACATTTAAAAAGATTGGTCATATAAATTGTGAGCTTGTCAACTGCATATGTGATATTGTAATAGATGCAACGGAGATATCTATATTAGAGAATAGATACATGGCGATAAAAAGGCACAGAACATACTGAAATCAATCATGATGAATATAATATGATGACAACATTGTCTATATAATGGTCACTGATATCTGTAGATAGAGGAGATCAGTGATTAGCTTTGAATAATAGAGACTATTATCTTCTAAATATCTTTTATGTGTACTTCACACTATTTTTATAGCTCATCTTTTACAATTCTAATTGCTCATAACTTTATTTGAGTGGTTCGTTGCTACACACATCTACAATAAGACTTACAACATTGATTAAAATATGTAAGATGATTTCAACACATACAAAATCTTTAGAAAATTAATCTAAATTCTTTATCACTTCTGACAATCATAATGCATGATTGCAGCAGTTAAATGATTAAATTTACAAATGAAAATAACAGCTATCTATTGTGCACATACAACAATATCTTAATAAATTGAAAGTGCAGATTTACAGAGACACTTTTATTGAAATCTAATCAATTCAAAATATCACTACAGAACTACCACAAAATCAATTTGCAGAAAATAAGAATGATGATAATGAAACATCATCAAAATTGAAAATAAAGAACTATTATTAAGGAAAAAATATGTTAAAATTTAAAAATTATAAAGATTGCATTCTGACTTTTTTTGCATTCCACTGTTGATATTATTGAAAAGAAAAATGTAAGATAAACAATATCAAACTTTATTTTGATGCTTATGTGAAGCAGAAGTGGTTGAATTTTGTATCATTATATAAAAAATATAGAATAGCAATATTGTTAACATTTGATGATATGTTATCACATCTAGAGATACAAATTAACAACTTACAAAATCAACATCAATTGATGTATTAAAGATTTTAAAATATCAAATAATAAAAGTGGTAATTAATATATGACTTTTCTAAGTATCTGAAGTATTACTTATCTTCATACAGTGAAGAACAGAAAATGAATAATTTGTGTAATAAAATATTGAAAGTGCTACACACTGAATTTAATTATTGAAATTAAAAACCTTAGAATTATAAAGAATTGCTTCAAATTTTACAGATTTTTGAGAAAAATATGTTAAAATGATAACATGTTATTCACAAAAGCAGATCTGTGATATTTATAGAAAATCAGCATCATTTTGATAAATCTAATGACTGATGAAATAAAAGGAAATGAGAGGAGCAGACAGATTTAACTGAACAAATCAAGAAAAATAAATATAACTGAATGTAGAAGTGATCTCATTGTCATAAGAAAAATCATATTGTAAATGATTGTTGAATATTACACTCTGAAAAATATGATCAAGTCTGACAAGTAAAAATCAACAATTTCAATTGTAGGAGCAGCTGCTGCATTGAGAATACAGACAATTAGACTGGAAAATAAACAGTTATTAATGATGAGTATATGAATGCTGACAGAAGCAGAATGGTCAATGATGTGGATGTTGATAAACTCTGATATGAATGTAAACTTTATATCCCATATCTGAGCATTGAAATATTTCTTAAAGTCAGAGGGTAAACTGAAAGTAGTAAAAGCAGTTGATAATCATAAAATTAAATTATATAAACAATGAAAAGCTGTGATGAAGATTATCAATGATGAATATGTTTTTCAAAAAGGATTCCACCATTTCAAAAAAGCTGATATTAATAAATATGATGTAATTTTGAACATGCTGTGATTGCAAGCTGTGAACTCTAATATCAATTGAGTGCAAAAATGCTGAATTTATAGAAAAGTGTCAAATATTAACCACATGCATTTAGATACTGCTAAGGAATTTGCAACTTTAATAGACAACAGCAATATCATATTCACTGCCTTTCCACTACAAGCTGCACACATAGCGACTGAGTCAAATATTTCAGATAATTATAAGAATTATTTTGATGTATTCTGAGAAAATATATTTGATGTGAAACATACATCTCAATCATATTTTAGATCTCAAATCTGATAAGAAATCATCATATCAATTGATATATAATTTATCATCTCAAGAACTCTCTATTCTTTGAGAATAAATTGAAAAAACATTAAAGAAGAATTAAATATATTTGTTCAAAAGTTTAGTCAGTGTTTCAGTATTATTCATACTGAAGAAGAATGGAACCCTGTATCTCTGTATTATTATTATTATTCTTTCATTATAGATATATGTAGCCAGTGACTATGATATATATCTGAAATACTCCAGAGTTTTTCAACTTATGAATAAGCTAATATACAAAGTCAATTTAATACATGCAATAGTAGAATTCCAGCCCAGAATCAAACAACTATTCAAACTATTTTAATTTAAGAATGAATGTCAAAAGGATGACAACAGATCAATACATTCAATTTAAAGTAAATGTAATAAAAAGTATAAAAAATAACAGCTATTAAAAGAAAAGATAGCATTTACAAATCAAACCTTTTAAAACAAGTCAAAATCAAAAATAATCAAAATGAAACAAATTTCAAAGTAAAAGTAACAAAATAAAAATAAAAACACAAATAAAAATTAAAGCAAATACATAGAAATAAAAGAAAAAAAAGAAAATAAAGATTGAATTCATTATCAGATCAAGCTATTCAATTGAAATGTTATAGCAACATTTGATTCTTTCAAATATTCAATCAAGAATTCATTTCCAGTTTTTGTATTAAATAAAAGTTTTAAATTTAACTGTCTCAATTCAAACTTCTCTCTCAATCTTAACTTTAACTCTGTATGCTTTGTACAAAGTAAAAGAAGATGCTCTGGATTTTTATATAACTGACAATCTGAATATAAATCACTTAAATCATTTCTAACCTTTATTAAATATGATTTAAAATAACCATGTTCAAGCTTTAGCTGCATTATTATAGCAAAAGGTTTTTTTTATATTTTATTACACAAGCTTTTCATTTTAGCTTAGTTTCAAATCTGAATATATGATTCAGTCAAATTACTTCGCATGCTGTTTCATTTGCTACAATATACTTTATCTCAATGATTGGTTTTGCAACTGAGATCTGCTATTATAACTGTCATAAAATCAATGATTCATTTAATAGAATAATGTAATCTATAATTGATTTATATTGAAGGTTTTCCTCTGCTCAATCTGAATCATTGTATATGACAGAACTGAGTTCTTCAATTATCTTCTTTTTATATAAAATTCTGTGATTCTTTGTTTTCTTGATATAGTATAGAACATGTTTTAATGCCACTCAGCATTTTTATGCAGATATAAGTATAAATATAAAAAGTAATTGACTGTGAATATTAAATATGATCTGTTATTTGATATCAAATACTGTAGTGGTTCTAATTTTTAATAATATTCAATAGCAGACAATCTATAATTTTGTATTAATTATTGAAAACTTAACAAAATTATATGAAAGAACTGATATTGTCTTCTATTCATCAACAAAACATTTAAATAAATAAAAAAAATAAAATGATTTTATGAAATTTGATATCTCTGCAGTTTTTTATAAAATAAAAATTAATAAAGATGATGAATAACTAACTGTTTTCTGTACATATTATGAATTATATAAATGAACAGCAACCTTTTTTAAATTGATATATATATATATATATTTAACATTTTAAAGAAGTCATGAGCAATATCTGTGCTTCAGAAGTTTTCTGAAAAACATGAAAATATATTATATTAAAAAGATTTTTATATACACAAAAAAAGAAAACAGAATTTAAATGATAATTTTTTAAAAAAACTCAGTATAAATTGATTGTTCATTCACTTTTAATTTAATGTATGATGATTTATATTAAAGTTATAATATGATTTTTTTTTAAAAAAAAAGTCATTGCTGCTGAGTCTGAAAGATTAATAAAAAAATAAAAAAAGATTGATGTAATAGACGCAACGGAGATATCTATATTAAAAAATAACAATGTGGCAATAAAAGATTATAGAACATGTTGAAATCAGTGAGAATGAATATAATATTAAATACTGTTGATAATGTATGAATTACTGCATTTTTTATTTTCTATATAAAGCTCATTGATATTTGTAGATTTTAGAAGATTAGTGATTAACTTTAAATAATAAAAATTACTATCTTTTTATAATTTTTATATATATTTCATATTATTCATTAATTATTTTTATAATTTATTTTTTATAATTCTAATCATTTTAAAATCTTATCTGAATGATTTGTTGTTACACATATTCTATGTAAGGTTCATAACATTAATTAAAAACATATAAAATGATTTCTACATGCATAAAATCTTTTGAAAATCAGTTTGAATTCTTCACTATTTTCAATAATCATAATATTCAATTGCAACAATTAAACAATCAAATCTATAAATAAGAACAATAATTGATTATTTTATATATAATAACATTTTAATAAATTGAAAGCACATATTCATAAAAATGTTTTTATCAAATTTTAATTAATTTAAAATATCATCATAAAATCATCATCAAATCAATCTGTGATCAATTGTAATGTGACGGCGCCGAGGCGATTGCTACTCGGCAGCGGCACAGAGGAGGATGGTATATAATGGGAAGCCTTATGGGTGGGCTTGATTATCTCGCTTGAACCGCGAACTCGTAGAATACTATACAAATACTGAACTACCAGAGGTACTCGGCACACTAAGAATATTGTATGAGGACAGTGGTAACTCTGGTATCTTATTGTCAAAAGATAAAAGACGAATCGCTGGCTCTTGGAATAGAGAGCCAGCATCCAGCTATTCTATATAGACAACGGGCAGCCATCCTCCCCTCACTCTATGAGCGAGGGTAGCCGAAGCAACTCCGCAGTGGCGCTGCATTGATCTGCCAGAAGGAATCTACTGACCCCGTATAGAAACAGGATTCTCATAGCCTATCAATCGGATCCTCTTCTATTGCATCCGAATGATGTCATAGGGTGGTTGGAAACCGGTTCGGACACCTGCGTGACGTCATGGGATAGATGGGATTATCCGAGGGGAAACGATGGGCCGTGTGGAGCCGTCACGGGGCCTTGGCACAACCAAGGGTGTGACATCAATATAAATGATGACAATGATGAAACACTGCTGAGATTGAAGATTAAAAAATATTATTAAGAAAAGAATATATATTAAAATTTAAAAATTATAAAGATTATATATTGATTCTTTTCATACACCACTGTCAGTATTATCAAAAGAAAGAATATAAAATAAACAATGTTAAACTCTATTTAAATACTCATATTAAATAAAAATGATTAAATTTCATATCAATGTATGAGTGATATGCCCCGGTGGCCGAATGGGTAATGCGGCCACCAGGTAGTGCCTTGGTGTGAGAACTCAAAGTATATGAGTTTGAAACTCACAAAGGGATAATATTATATTCAGAGCCAATTTCTCAACTTTTAAAATAAAGAAATGTGAATTTGTTAAGTAGATATTTTTAAATGAATTTATTATTTGATTTAATTTATTATTTCTGAATTGAAAAATCTGTATTGTGAGTATCAAATTCTGTCTTTCATTAATTTTTCTATATTTTTATTATATTTTTAACATCATTTAACACTAAGCATTTCTTCTGTATAATCAACTCTTATCTGTATTTAACATTACATAAGGACTCATCATAAGCACTGCTTGCATATGAGTACAATGAAAGAATAATAATAATAATAATAAATGAAATCAGTGATTCTATTAACATCTTTTTTATAAACATAGTTATTTTCTGAGAAAATAAAACAATAATTATGAGTGTTCAATAAAATTTTGAATTCTATAAGTTATGATAAATTGAGTATTAAATTGTATTCAAAAATTTATATTTATATATATACACATTTTTTTTTTATATTCTTCTATATTATTATTATTATTATTTATTATACTCCGCCTTCATCCAATGGATATGCGGTTCTGCTACCATATGTCTAGCTAGGAAAACCCCACTGCGCCTTGGCGCAGGGGGGTGAAAAACCTTGCGCACAGTGGTGTTAACTATCCTGTTCATCTGCAGGGTACCGGGCAAGTCAGCTAGAGCTGTTCCTTGCAATGGGAGCGGGAACAAAGGAAAAGGAATTAGAGAAAGTATAGTAACAAAAGAAAGGAAGAAGGGAGGGACAGATAGTAGGCGCTGTTAGGATAGAAGGGAGTGACAGGAGGGGGTAGAGGGGATTGACAGAACGGGTAGATAGAGGAAATTATACGGCAGGGTGAGGAGATGATGAGGGGATGAAAATGAGGTGGTGCAAATGAGGTGGAGAGAGGCGAGGGGATGGGGAGGAGAGGGAGGAGAGGGAGGGGCTAAGTAGTCAGGGGAGTGAGTGCATGTGGGATTCAGGGGATTCTGGGGGTCCAAGGCAGCTCAGCGCCTTATGGTACATAGTGTGTCAGCTCGCGTGCTAATGTGAACTGGCCTAGAATCCCGCTCTCCATCCACCAGTTTGACAGGAGATGCAGGCCTTCCTTGGTGTCTAGCAGCATCCTCTTGTCTAGCCTGCCATTTCTTATAAGGCCCTGACGCTGCTGCTCCCAGCGTCCGCAGTGTATCAGAACATGTTCGACTGTTTCCCATTCATACCCACAGGGGCACCGTGGGGTGGGGAATTCAGGTACCTTACACCGGTTTAGGAAAGCTGCCAGTCCGGTTTTCCCTGACCTCAATTGGATGATGATAGTGCTGCGAGCCTTGCGCAGGCCGGTGTGCCACTTCAGAATTTTCTTGTCTGGGGGCCGGCCATGCCGCTCCCCCCAGGGGGGCTCACGTCTTTTCCACCTCTGCACCCACCTCCAGAGCTGCTCGCGCTTCAGCCAGTGATTATATGAGGCTTGGTCCAGGTTGGCTCGTTGTTCCGGTGTCATCTCTGCTGTGGCTCTCTCCTTAGCACCCTGAATCCATTGCTGTTCCCAGTCCACTGGCAGGGCTGCCGGGTGAACCACAGCTCCCATGTGTCTCTGTGCCCCCCTTGTCACCCCCCGGTGCCGAAGCCTGGTCCTTATGGCCGCACACGCATTCTCAATTTGTTGCGCCATTCCTGAGGCCTTCATCCTGTTGACCGCCTTTGCCACTAGCCCATCCAGGTGGATGTCTAAGGGTACTGTGTGGGTTTCCGCTTCCAGTGTGCTTGTTGGGGTTCTTTTGTATGCCCCTGCCACTATTCTGAGGCAGGAGTTCTGCACTGTGGTCAGCTTGAGGGCCAGTCCTGACTTAGCTGGACCCGTGCCCCCCTGCCCCTGTGGCTGGTGCCATGCTATTGCTCCATAGGTCAGGGCCGGCCTGATGACCATGTTATACACCATTCTCGCTTGTCGTAGTGGGAGCCCCCATGTGGATTGGGTGGTTTGGGACAGTGCTCTGACTTGAGTCTTCATCTTGCCTGCCACCGCGTCCAGGTGGCCCTTCCTTCTCAGCCTAGAGTCTAACCATACACCCAATACCCTCATCACCTGTTTCGGTTGTATAGTTTGTCCTGGCAGTCTCAGCTCAGCCTGTAGGTTGAATTGGTTGCGCGCCCGTGTGAAGTGCATTAGCTCATACTTCTGGGGGGCAAAGACCGCCCCGTGCCGTGCTGCCCACTCCTCGCATGCCCGATGCATGCGCAGGAGCTCCCTGCAGTTGTCCTCAGTGGACTGGCCATAGGCCATCACGTTGACATCGTCTACAAAGGCTATGCACACCACCGGGCGCCCCGGTCTTGAGCAGATGCGCACCAGTTCCTCATTGTAGAATAGGAATAGTATAGGTGATAGGGGTGACCCCTGCGGGATGCCTGCTGGGATGTCAAAGGTGTCTGATTCCTGGCCCTCAAAGGCAATTGTGGATTTCCTGTTGGTCATGAAGGACGCAACCCATCCCACCAGGTCCCTGGGGATGCCCAGTCGCCGGAGGATGTGAACCATTCGCTCCCGCAGCACCTTGTCATAGGCCCCTGTCATGTCTAGGGAGAGTACCGATGCCCACCTGTCCTGGGTGCTGCCACACTGTCCTTATCTGGGCTCAGAAGTTGTGCTATGGCTGTTTCAGTGGACCTGCCCCTTCTTGCCCCCATTTGCGGTGAGGGTAGCAGGTTGTGGTCCTCCGCGATCTTCCGCAGGCGTTTTGCAGTTGCTGCCTCCACAATCTTCCCTATTGTGTCCAGCAAGGCAATGGGTCTCCACGCTCCTGCAGTCTGGTAGTCAGCCTTCCCTGGCTTGCGCAAGGCCACTGTCTTGGCTTCCTTAAACGTGTCTGGGTAAGTCTCCCAATGCCAGCATGCATTGGTGAGAGCTGTTATGGCCTCCACAAATGTTCTGCCCAGCATCTTAAGGAACTCGTTGGTGATCCCACTCCTCCCTGGTGCCTTCCTGTTTGGCAGTCTCTGGATCAGGCTTTCCATGTCCCTCCACACTGATGGTGTCATTTGACGCTTCCCTTTCAGCTTGCAGCAGCTCCATATTGGTGTCACTTAAGTCGGCGGGCTCTGGCTGTGGGAAGAACCGTTGTCGTAATGCCTCAGCCTTCCCCTCAAAAGAGGTTTCTACCGTCGCGTCAGCCCCTTTCCCTGTTCTCAGGGGGGGGACAGTAGGTGCCTGTGGGGGCAGATGGCTTCTTTCCTTGCCCCATTTTGCCAGTCCCCACATCAATCTGGGGTCATCACGGGTCCTGTCAACCAGATCTCTGAAGTTTGCTGTCTTAGCCAAGTGGATTTCTCTGTTGCGTTTGCAGCGTGCCCTGAGCCGCTCCATTTCTGGGAGCTGGGACCTCCTAGCCTGCTTGTACTCCTCCACTGCCTTGGCCATCCTCGGTGACCACCATGTCTTGGATTTTAACCCAGCCTTACTTACGGTGGCGTGTTTGTCCGCTAATGTCCCTACAAATCCTACCAGGTAGTCTGCATACTCCTTGACTGCTTGCCTGGAGTCCAGGCTTTGTGGCACATATAGCTTTTGGCAGTCCCTTGCTACCTCCTCAGGCTCCGCATTCTTCCAGTTTCGTCTCTCAGCCTCCTTTGGGATGGGTGTGAGTTCCAGTGTTGTTTCCATGGGCTTATGGTCAGATCCTTTGCATGCCTCCTCCGCTATTGCACACCTCCTGAGCTTGTCGTGCAGGAGTGGTGATAGAAAGGTGAGGTCTATAGTCGTCCCTGGGCTGCCTCTGTCCTGCCATGTGGTAGCCCCTACAGGTGTGGCAAGCTGGAGACCCAGCCTATCCACCTGTGCTATTAGCTGCCATGCCATGCGGAAGTTTCTCTTCACTCTCACCCCCTCCCCACCTCTCATGGTGGACATTAAGATCTCCTAATATGACCAGCTCTGCATCTGTGCCCATTCCGGCTACCTCCTGCAGCTGGCCTATGGGGGATTCCTCCGGTTCACTGCTGTAGCCCCCTGGAGGAGGTGCATACACATTGACTATTTGCACCTTACCCAGGTCGGTGGTGATTGTCAGCACTGCAATGTATTCTGAGTGGTAGTGGCACTCCCATGTGTGTTCCACGAGCCTTTTGTTGACCAGAAAGCATACTCTTGGGTGTGTTTCCGGGTGATAAGCTGGCCAGAAGCCGCAGCTTCTGGGGCAGTGTGTTGCTAGCATGTGGGGATTCCGGCTGGGCTCTTGTACTGCAATTACGTCGTATTTGTCTTCTGTTGCAGGGTCTGCCAATAACGCACCCATAACTCTCGCAGAGTTGTGCACGTTATATTGTAGGAGGTTTAGTGTGTCCCTCATTGTTGCGTGGGGGCTGGGGTCTGCGTGTAGTCCATTAGGTCCTCCTGTAGCTGAGACCCAGGTTGTGAGCTCTGTGGTGCTATAAAGGCACTTAGAGCTCCTCTCTGGGCTTCGCCTGCTTGCAGAATCCCCTTGGGTCGGCCTGGTCCTCTTCTTTGGCCCTCTGGTTCCCCAGTGGGTAACCTTTTATTTCCTCTGGTTTGCACCACCTGCCACCCATCTTGTGCTTTTGGCTCCATAAACCTACGGGGTCTTTCCATGTATGCTGTACGGGCCCTGCTTGATGCCCTCTCCCTCTCAGGGCACTTAGAGACCCAGGCTGGGTGTGTTCCCCTACAATTTGCGCACCTCGGTTGTTCCCCAGCTTTTCGTGCTGGGCATTCCTTGTCGTCATGTTCTTTTGCCGCGCAGAACCCGCACCTTTTGGCCTGCCTGCAGAATCTGGCCGTATGCTCATACTCATGGCAGTTAAAGCACCGGGTGACCTGCGCTTCCCCGGTGGAAGATTTCAACGTCACAAAATATGCTGTCTATTATCAATCCATTGTCTACTAGTAGGTTGGCTTGCTGAGGCGAGGTGACGCTGAGTACAAGAGACCCAACCTTTGCCTGCAAGCTGGCATTCCGTCGTAGAGACAGTCTCTCAATTTGTACCCCTCTTCGGAGTCCTTCATTCTGTGCGTAAATTGCCTTGATGGCTTGCTGTTCCTCCTTCCAGTTGGTGTTGCCCATTGGGACTCCCTTAACCATGACTGGGTACAGGGTGTGCTTTGCCTTCGCCTTTTGTCCCAAGACTTCCAGCCATGTGCTGCTCTTAGTCAAGGCCTCCCTGGTCTCCCTCGCGTCGGTTGTCAGGATGATGTCTCCACTGGGGAGACATCTTGCTGCAAGCACCTTTCCCTTTGTCACATCCATAATTCTGGCGTTGACGGCTGCCACAATCGCTGGGGGGGTGGCCTCCTCAGCTGGGAGGGCTTCGCAGTCCCGGCGTAGGACAGTAATCTCGCGGAGGGTTCGGTTAGGCACTGGTTTTTCTGGAATTCCCTGTCCTGCGACCTTGGCCCATGATGACAGTTTGGCTTCTTTCACTCCTTCGGGTTGGCGTTGTGCGCGTGTCGCCACGGTCGCGTCTTCCACCTTGGCCAGCATCACCTCCCCCAGTTTGACCTTCAACTCCCTCACCAACCTGGCTGCCTCCTCCACTACCTCCTTCCCTTTGCCGTTGATGGCAGGATCTTCGCTCCCATTGCAAAGAACATTGCTCAACTGTGTCAATATTGCTCCACATGTGGTGGGCTGCTGCCTCTTGTCAGAGTTTTCTTCTCGCGGGCGTCCGTCAGCGCGTCCCACGATTTCCTCCATCACAACCATGGCACCAGCACCACCTCAACTGGGGATTGCTGGGTGTCGTGAGATTCCCTGCGATCAGGGCTATCGTTCGCTATCGTTTTCAGTGTATTTATATAAAAGTAAAGACCTTTTTCCTTTTAAAATTCGTGTTTTAAATGTTTTTTAAATTTTCCAGTTTGTAATATAAAAAATGTATTTTAATTAATGATTAACACTATTCTAATACAGTTTATGAATTGATTAAAAAAGAAAAGAAAGAGAAAGAAGATCAGGAGGAAAAAGATTGTTATAAAAAAATTTTTATAAAAAAAAATTAAATGAAAGGATTATTGAAGATTATACTGTAGTGAAGTGCAGAAATGAAAAAATGTTGAGGGTACATGAAAGAATTGTTAGAACTACATATACACAGAGTGGAGATTACACAGAAGAATTGTTAGAACGCTATATGAATGTGAGGTGAAGTTGTGAGGCGTTGATTGTGCAAGCTAACTACTAACGGGTGCTAACCCGTCACAGTAATCTTGTATATTCAATCATTTCAGCCACAAAATGAAGCAATTTTTGACACCCTCAGAACTTCATATGATTCTTGTAGACTTCGCTTCACTCCGTCTAATAATTAAGAGAGAGAAGAGATAATGCTGTGTCTCTGAAGTTACCAACTTATTACTAGCTGCTTTATTAGTCAGACTGCGAAGAAAAATAACTGCTGAAAACTGCCCGGATGATGGCTATAGTCATCATAAAATAGTAAAAAAAGAAGGATTTGCTGAAACAAGGGGTATTGCGCAAGGCTAAACATGACGGCAGGAAGGATGAGGGGGGAAGGAAAGAGGATAGCCATAATTATATGTCAGATATGATAACTTGCTATGGCCATTCATATTCGAGGGAAAACAGAAAAAGGTTTGGAAGGGCTGATGGCGTATACCAATGGCAATTGAGGGTTCAGGAGGAAATCTCCAGAAACACTGCGCAAGAAATTATAGAGAAAATTGAAACTCATGATATGAAAAGGGAAGCCAGGACAAGTGAAAAGAGTGAAAACAAACCCTACCAGAAGATAAAACGATCAATCATGGATAATAAAATAAACAAATACACAAACAAAAAATACTCCCCAGGAAATCATGGTCATTCCGCTAGAAATAAACTCCCGCTCCAAAACATGAGAAAAGTGAGGATAGGAGACCTACAAAGCCAAAAAGAGGTAGAAACGAAGTCTCGGTAAAAATATGGTTCGGGTACGGATGATAATGCTAGTTCGCAAAGCCTGACAGTAGCGATATTTATGAGAGGAGGGCGTGTGCATGGCGATGGAGTATATGTTTTAAAAATGAATATGAGAAATGTCAGCTTCGGGAACCGGGAACTACCAGGGCATTTACGACGTGGCCTTCTTTCCAGCCCTGGGATAATAGGCTTTCTTGTTCTTTGAGAATTTTGCCCAGATACGCTATTCGGACGCGCTGTTTGCCGACAATCTGTTTATTTGAGGAGGGCCAAGGTTAGCTCAACAAGCTCCAAATAAATACTAGTTGCCGAGGTCTTCCAAGAGAGAAGAAAACGGACAAAGGAATGGTTTCTGGAGAAAATCAGATACATACCCCGGCTTCAGCCTGGATTCTCCGCGCTAATACTCCCACCGTGTGATTCTTCCCAATCATCACCGTCGCATCCGGACCTCCTCGGTCACTCAACCTCGCAGAAATCTTTATCAGGTCTCTTTCACTAGCTTTCCCCTTCTCCTCGCGCCGCCTCTCAATGTCATCTGCCTTATCATCATCTGAATCCACATTAACAGCGAGTTTATTACGTTCAACGTCCTCCCCAAGCTCCACAGTCGTAGCGCATATGGTATTACCGTCAGTGGCATCTGCAGACTCCTCAGCCACATTAACCGGATCCATGGCAATGTACTCTGGAATGCGGTATAAAATGCCACTCTCGTCATAGCAGCCATCACACATGTCGCCTGTCGGGACGGTAATCCCTGCAGCATCCAAGATGCCCTGCGCTGTAGCGATATCTTCCGCCCGCACAAGGGAGGTAGCCGCTGCTAGGGCAGCCCATATTTCTGGTCTTCCAGTCACTCGGGTGTCAAAAAAAAGCTCCCGTTCGCGGACAAGTTGTTCCCGTGTCCATTCTCGGTGGATGCTTTGCCATATGTGTGGGTGTATCGCTTGGTTATAGTGGACATCCAGAGGGACACCGACTAGGGCACGTCGGCGGCGAACGGATCGTGAGACTGCAGAGCGATTGTGATGGCTCTGGGCAGTTTCGTCGGTGGTGGCGCGATTGAGGATGGGATGTGTCGGGCTGGTGGGAGTGGGAGATTGGTCAGACTCTCCTATTTCAACAGGTTAATTCGATCTGAAGTTGTGTTGAGGGGAAAGAAGTTTCTAACCTCGAGAGGAGGTGGATATGCAACAGCCCTATTGAAGAAGCATGGAGGTTAGCGACCGCCGATATATTACACAAGATATATAGAGGTAACTCGTGGTGGTGATAACAACAAGAGCGGACGACGGCATCGTCCAGCAGCGGCCACTGGGCAGAAAGCTGGGTGAACCAGGAATATCGAAATGTCGTTAAAGAAACACCCGCGTAAACAGAGGTTCTTAAAAGGCAAGAAGAACAAAAATCTCAAGCTACTGGAGAGGATTTCCCAAACCCCCCCGGCAAGTGGATGAAGCTTGAGACAGCTTCAGGAGCTCTAGATATGCATACACATCCGTCCATAGAAGGCATAGAGGTATGTAAGACACTCCACCATTGTGCATGGGTGCAGATCGACATACAGGCTGTAGGAAATATTCCCATGAGACAATAGAATAAGGCTAGCTAAAAGCAAGGGAGGAAGTGTGAGAAGAGTTGGCGGTGGAGATGAAGGCTGGAATAGTGCAGGATGAGCACGAGATGACAAAAAGTGGAGATAACTATCGGTCGGCAAACTGAACTTAGCGAGAGCCAGAGAAAGCTCCAGCCAGCAGAGCCAGTTGCAGGTTTAGTTGGCTATTCGGCCCGGTTTACTTTGTTATATTTAGATTTTGCACTGCAAACCACCCTTGACAAGTGATTCCACACCCGAATAGTTCTAGAACTGTTGACGCAATCATCCTCGATAGTTAACTCGGATAACTATTTCACGATTATTCAAGCCTCTGTCCAGGACGAGGCAAACACAGGAGACAAACAGAAAAGCATCTAGCAATCAATGCTGAGGAAGCGTCTATCACATTCTGTTACGTTGATTGTTGATCATCTTGTAGCTTTGGCGAGGCAAGCTTTGTTATTGTCGACAAGCCGCAATCGCTCGCTTGCGCTCGCTTATTCAGCTTGAAAACACACTGATATATAAGCAGCTGTATATGATGTTGGGGGGTATAGATTGGTTCGTCCCCTCTACTACCAGCATGGCGCTGGTGTGAGAGAGCTCTTGTGCCCCAGTGACCTAACATATGACTTGTATAGATGAATTTCATATAATTTATAACTATTAATAGAGAATAATTATACAAATGAAAAAGATGAATAATATTGTAGTATCTTTTGCGCCGGTTAGCGGGGCGCCCAGCCTGCCGCGCGCCGTCGTCATTGGTCTGCTTGCTGCGCTAGGCCTGTTGTGGCAGCACTGTTGCTGCTTCAGAAATGGCAGTGCCTCTGTCGGAACTGGATAAAGTCCGAATTTTGACCCAAATACTGAATATCAATAAAATAAATTGAATTGCTGATATTAACTCCAGTAATTACATGATAACCAGGCAGTATTTATAAGAAAGAGAATGTTTGAATATATGATGAAGGGCAGTGCTGATATACATCGGATCAGTGATCTGATTTTCAGAATTGAGATAATAGAAGATTTTTGTTAATGTAATTATCAAAATACTAAATATGATATATCACTTCTCAAATATCATTAAAATGCTTGATATGATATATCACTTCTCACAGCCTCTTACTGCTTTCTCGTTCTCATGTCTCACATCATTTCAATAATTGACTGTTTAAGCCGTAGTGTAGGATATTTTGCACTTTCACAACAGCCT